AAGAAAGGCTTGTTTCTAGAAAGATGACAGCCAAGAAGACTCTTGGGAGCTGAAATCTGCCCTGTATCACCGAGGGTTTCTATGAGCTAGAAGGGACTCATCGGCAATGGGTTTTGTTTTGTTGAAGTGAGTGAAGGTTCTTGGGGGGCAATCATGTGACTCCCTTCTCTCACGCTTTCTCCTCCCCCAGCCACAGTATAGTCACTGCTGAACAATGAAAACAATCCTGGACATGATTTATTTCCCTGTCTTCAATGTGTGTTTGCCTCCATTGGTAGCTTTAGTGAGGCTGGTAGGGTAGCTGGTGAGGGTACGATGGAGAGCTCTGTCTCTGGAGTCAGACATGCTCTGGTTCAAACACCCAGTCTGCCCCTCACTTTGCTGTGTGGCCTTCGACACATGCTGTCAGCTCTTCAGATCTGACCTTCTTCATTCCTATAATGGAAAGATTAGTACTAGTACTCCCTCAATGCAAGAACACTTTGTTCTATTGATTTGGCATGCCATGATGCTCACCTCCCCGACACAATCCAATCGCTGAAGACAAAGGTGTGCATAAGCAAACGTAGTAAAGAAAGCTGATGGTGCCCGGCTATCAAAAGATATAGCATCTGGGGTCTTAAAGGCTTGCAGGTAAACAAGTAGCCATCTAGCTCAGAAGCATCAAAGCCCACATGGCAGAAGCACACCAGCCTGTCTGAACCACGAGGTGTAGAAGGGTCCAGGTATCAGACATCAAAGAACAAAAAATCATCGGTGGGTGTCAACCTTCCCGATATGATCACTGAAGACAAATGTGTGCATAAGCAAATGTGGTGAAGAAAGCTGATGGTGCCCAGTTATCAAAAGATATAGCGTCTGGGGTCTTAAAGGCTTGAAGATAAACAAGCGGCCATTTAGCGCAGAAGCAACAAAGCCCACATCAAAGAAACACACCAGCCTGTGTGACCATGAAGTGTTGAAGGGATCAGGTATTAGGCATCAAAGAACAAAAATTCATATCATTGTAAATGAGGAGGAGTGCAGAGTGGAGACACAGAGCCCATCTGTAGGCAACTGGACACCCCCTTACTGAAGGGTTACAGGGAGGAGAAGAGCCAGTCAGGGTGCAGGGTAGCAACGATGAAACACACAACTTTAAATGTTACCTCCCCCCACTATCATGATCCCAATTCTACTTTACAAATCTGGCTAGACCAGAGGATGTACAGTGGTACAGATAGGAACTGGAAACACAGGGAATCCAGGACAGATGATTCTTTCAGGACCAGTGGTGAGAGTGGCGATACCTGGAGGGTGGAGGGAAGGTGGGGTAGAAAGGGGGAACCGATTACAAGGATCTACATATAACCTCCTCCCTGGGGGATGGACAACAGAAAAGTGGGTGAAGGGGGACGTCAGGTGGTATAAGATATGACAAAATAATAATTTATAAATTATCTAGGGTTTATGAGGGAGGAGGGAACGTGGAGGGAGGGGGAAAAGGAACTGATTAAGGGCTCAAGTAGAAAGCAAATGTTTTGAGGATGATGATGGCAAATGTACAAATGTGCTTCAAATGTGCTTGACACAATGGATGGATGTATGGATTGTGATAAGAATTGTACGAGGCCCCAATAAAATGATTTTTTTAAAATGGCCAAATGGTATTATGTGAACGGAACAGTTATTGCCTCCTCTTACACGTCAGCATTCAGCATGATTCGCTTCCAGTAACTGGGAGTCTGCATGCCTTTCAGTATCATGGAGTCAAGCCTCGAAGGAACACCTTCACCGTAGCAGAATCTGGATCGCTGCTACTGCCCCTCCTCGATGACCTCTACCTTTGTCTTCACAGACCACGTTTTCTCCTGCAGTTGTACATGATTACCTTTTAAAAAATGATTCTACTTTTGTTGTCATTGACAAGACACAGCATAAGCCCATTAAAAGTTTCTACATGTACTATTTTCTATAGGATATTGATTACATTCAATTGTGTACCCAGTGTCACCCTCCTTCTGCAAATTGTTCCTCCTTCATGAACAAACACTCATTGCCCGAAGGTTCCCAGCTAGTCTTTCAAGTTGCTGCGGTCAGTTTGATCCCGCAGAGAAAGGACATTGAAGGAGCACATGCTCTTGGCAGGCATTCATTACCAGGAAGGCTCAGCTATGTTTGGTTTAAGGTTTAAAGATGAACTCCAGATAGTCATGGTGTGTGTGTGTGTGTGTGTGCGCGCGCAGTCTTCCAGCCTCAATGGATCCAGAAAGGCTGTATCCCATGAGAATTTGAAATTCTGCTGCAGTTTTGATCAGGATTCTTCCTTCTATAGACTCTTAGAGCAGAACTTTCAGTGATGATGGCTTGGCATCTAATGATTGACTTTGAACCTAAGTCTGAGGGCAACCCAATTCTTCCTGTAAGTTCTGCTTAATGATTCACATTTAACCCAAGTCCTGGAACAAACACTATTAAAAACTTGAGTATTTGTTTTCTTAAGCCTAGCTCAGTCATCACCTCCTCAGGAAAGCCTCTCCTCTCTCAACCGTGGGATGGTGTCGAATGGGCACTTCCTCATTGTTCCATCGCTGACTGCACTCTTGACTACCTCGCTTTGGCTCTGCTCAGAGGGCCCCACTGACTCTTCTCTCTACACCAACAGCTTTGCACGACTCCTTGCCCACTACCAAACTACACTGCCTTTGAGTTGATGATCAACTCATAACGATCCTAGGGGACAGGGTAGAACTGCCTCTGTGGGTTTCCAAGACCATACGGAAATAGAAAGCATTGTTATCTTTCTCCGGAGGAGTGGCTGATGGTTTTGAACTTCGGCCCTTGCCAATCATGGCCCAATGCGGAACCACTACACCAGCAGGGCTCCTTTTACCCACTGCAGACGGACTAAATGTTTGCTGAATCAAGTGACGAGACCAGTGCTTGGTCTGTCTTCTGAAATGGGTGAGATTCTGTCAGGAATCATACCTGTTCTAACATATTAATGAAGATGTGCTGGTCCCGGGGTGAAGGCGGTGGTTGTTAGCTGTCAAGGTGGCCCCAGCTCATGGAGAGCCCAATGCCAAGGGTTCAAACCACAAGCTTTTCATTGGCTACTATTATGAAAGAAGCTCACCAGCCCCTTCTTCCTAGTATGTATGGGCATGGGCAGCCTCCAAGGACAGGTGGTGGCTACTCTTGAGGTACACTGGCCAGGACCACAACCTGGGCCTCCAGAGCCACCAGTTCTCAGGAGAGCTGGTGTTGAGTGCTGTTGTGTTGAAATGCCTGAAGGTTCCTGAGGCGGAAATCTTTACAGGGACAGATTGCCAGACCTTTTCTCCCAGGGAGCCATTAGAGTTTGACCCACTGGCCCTTTGGCAACCCAGCGCTTAACCAGCGTGTCACCAGGGCTTTTTCCATGGAGGTTATTCCCAGATGCCAAGTCACCCTTTTGGTTCAACGCTGCCCCTTCTTTCTCCAAGGGCTTCTTTCAGTGCTCCTACTTCCAACCCTGCGGACACTCCCTAGGTGCTGTCCTTTCTGCAGCGGCTCTCTACATCAGCAGTTCTCCACCTTCCTTAATACAGTTCCTTGTATGGTGGTGACGCCCCAACCATAAAATTATTTTCATTGCAACTTCAGCACTGTAATTTTGCTACTGTTATGAATCAGGCAACCCCTGTGAAAGGGTCATTCGACCCCCAAAGGGGTCGTGACCCACAGGTTGAGAACTGCTGCTCTACATGCTACAAAAACCAAACCAAACTCAGTGCCATCAAGTCAATGCTGACTCCTAACGCACCCCCGGTGGGTTTCTGAGACTGCGGCTGTTTGTGGGAGTAGAAAGTCCTCCAGGTGTTAGGGTTGAACATCCACCCTGGGCAAACCCTCAGGGGCGCCCAGGCGGTTATTCTTGTTTGGTGCCACCACTTGACTTGGAGACAGGAGGCTCCTTGGATGTCTTGCTGATATTTCCCATTTCTTTGCCATCAGTGGTGTGACCTTGGGCAAACCATGTTATCTTTAGCTTCCTTATCTGACAAATGGTTCTGCTACTAGCACTTACTTCAGAGGTCCAAGGAAGGTTAAGCAAATACAGTTCCCTGGTACCTAGTTTATCTTCACCCAGGACAACAACAAAAATACCCTCAGGATAGATGCTTTCTGCTTCAAAGATCCCAGTGAAGCAAAGAGGGTACCAGGACCTTGAACCCTTTATTGTTCAGTAACACGATATCGAAAATAAGTCTTTCTGCTCTAAATTTTATGTTCATCAGGAATATAAACACCCCCACAGTGGAAGCGCTCAAAAGGAGAAATACTCAGTTTTCTCAACAAATTTCCAAGGAATTTTTTTTTCTACTGGTATCCAAATTTTGGCAGCTTCAAAGATTCCAGCCACACAGATGATAAAGCAAGGATATTGAGACACTCCAGCTCATCCTGTATCTTCAGGATCAACTTGCAGCAGCCACCCATTAAGCTGAGGCATATCTAAGATTTTGTGCCCTAGCCAGTTACCCCTTGAAGCCACGTGGCCCAACGAGGTGGGTTCTGGTTTTGATTCTTCCATAAGGAGTAACCGACGCCTCTCCCACATCTGTGAACTAGTGATAACATTTGGCTGCAGTTGCAGGGAGAATTGGACAATTTTATCAGTCTATATAAGAATCCTGATCAAAAGGGAAATGTAGCATCCTTTTTATTACAAATAACACAGACTCATACTAAGAGCTGGCGGCCCAACAAAAAGCCTGGAAGCACCTCCCCACCCTCAGGAGGTTTCTAGTTCCTACATATCCTTTTCTATCTTATGATCTTACAATGTGTTGACCAGTAAGCCCGACACTCCTTTTAAGGCAGAAGTCTTCAAATACATTGATACATGATACACCGGACATATTAAAACATATTAAATAATTTTATTCTTTTCTTTTATATTACTAACAGTATCTTAGAATTAAACATTCTTGGAAAATTGAAAAAAAAATTCTCAAATTTGTTTACACAAAGCATGTATAAAAATATTCAGATAAACAAATATTTGATGATTATGTCATCAAGTCTTAAAAGTGCCAAAAATAAATAAAATACCTGAAGTCAAGTGAGAGGGACAGATGGTTTTGTTAAAGTTCATTTGAACAGTTCGGCTGACCGGCACTGCTGATGGACTCCCAAGTGAAGCCTCAGCCTGTGGACACGAGTGAACACTGCGTGTGGCACTTCCACCTTGGCTGGTTTCACAGTGCCAACAGGAAGTAGCAGTAGAGAGGGAGAAAATTCCCAACTTCTCTAATAACTGCTCTACAGTAGCAAAAGAAAAAAAAAAGTATCGCCATTTTTAAACAATAGACTTCAAACGATTTTGATTTAGATCAAAATTTAAATTCTAGGTGTACAAATTGCTTGCTGAGAGCAATACTAACACAGTAAGACTTTTGGATAATTACCTTTGATTTAAAGAAATATGTATATTGAAGGGGCCAGAGAACAAAATACTTGCTTGCAGGTGCTAATGATTTAACGCATAAGCAATAACCTGAATGATCTTTCCTCCAAGTATCGAACAGTGCAAAACATGAGTAGTCACAAGTATAGCGATCGTCACTTTCTGCCGGCTTGAAGGCCAACAATCAAGCATCTTGAGGAGGTATCACCACTAAAGAAAACGCAAAGCAGCCCCGAACTCAAGTACTATGATTCCTTCAGGTGCTAGGGTCTCAAAGGTCGAGGGGGTAGTTTCTTATCTAAGGGGAGAAGCGTGCCACTCGAAATGCCCAAGAGCTCCCACAAGATACAGCATTGAACATTCTGCCACAAAGCCTGGGCAGCCACTGTTAGTTTGAACAGTATTCAACGTGAGCCAGCAGGTCTCGGTGCTCCGTGGCGGGATACTGGACATTGCACTTGGGGCACTCCACCAGGCTGTCATTGAGGGCCACAGGGCTTTTCGGTGAGGCGACTTTGAGCCTGTTTTCTGTCTCTCCTTGGCAAGTGACTAAGGGCTCATTGAAGGCAAGCTCATGAAGCTGTTTCTGAAAAACAAAGTTCAGCACATGCTGTTTGTATAGAAAGCCCACCATTAGTTTTCACTCAACAGGTATTCTGGGTGCTTCAGCCCTGCAGACAGGGTTTCTTTGAATCTCTGCCACCACTACTATGGTGGCCACGTGTGAGATGGTTTAGAGTGTAAGTTACCCAGAAAGCACTGGGGTGAGGGGATTTATATGGGTAAGTTTGTGGCTGTAGAGTAGATTCTGACCCAACAGAACAGAGTATAACTGCCCATGAGGTTTCCAAGGTCGTGGAAGCTGACTGTCCCCACTCTTTTCCTGTGGAGGATGGGGGTAGGTGGGGTGTTTCATACTGCTGACCCTTCGGTTAGCAGTGGAATGCTTGGTCTCTGCAGCACTAGGGATGCTTTTTATAGGATTATTAGCCTATCCCAAACCCACTGCCATCCCGCTGACTCTAAGTCACAGTGAGCCTATAGGAAGAGAACTGGCCCGAGTTCCAAGGCTGTCAGTCTCTCAGGAAGAAGCTACCACATCGTCCGCTCAGGGAGGTGCTGGTCGGCTCCAGCTGCTAGCCTTGCGTTTGGTTAGAGTGTGGTTCAACCTTCCTAATGCCGTGACCCTTTCATACAGTTCCTCATGTGGTGGTGACGCCCCAACCATAAATTTATTTTCGTGGCTACTTCAATAACTGTAATTTTGCTACTGTTATGAATCAGGTGACCCCTGTGAAAGGGTCATTGGACCCGCAAACATGACCCACGGATTGAGAACCGCTGGGTTAGAGGCTGAGTGCTTAACCCATGCATCACCGGGGCGCTTTTAGATTAAGATGTTTGGAGCAGACCTGTGTGAAAGGCTGACTATATTTGGTTGTAAACGTGTAATTTCAGCAAGAGGACTGTCTAGAATTATGAGAAGCCAAGAATTTCAGCCCAGCAAACACGTTATACACAGAACTGACTGAGAAATCATTGAATACCTTTGAGGATTTCCTTTCTCATGGTTTTCTCTGACGAGCTTAGCATAGTCAGTGAAGTTTACAAATGGGCACTTTATAGCACACTGAGAGGATGACGGATAGTAGGAACACCCAGACAAATATACATGGAAAATTACAAATTCCTTTACACATCCTTTGGCGTCCTATACTTTGAAAGAAATCATTAGCAGACAATTATAAATTTTTGTTTCAAGTTTTAGGTGGTTAAAATCAATAACATACTTAAAAATAGACCTAAAAGTATATTTGCAGTTTTTTATTCACACTTGTTTCTCCCTACCCCCTTCGAAAACAGGAAAATTATATTTGTAACATTTCCCCATCTGCAAATACCCTAGAGCACTAGGACTATGGATAGAAGATGTTAAGACCTGACTACCTGCCTACAGCTTGGAAAACTCATAGGGCAGTTCACCTATCACACGAAAATACTACAAATCGAAAATGGTCTTAACCACATCTAACAGCAATGGGGGACGCACAGACACAGACCTCCAATAACGTGTGGGCCAAAAGGTTACTACTAAAATGAAAATAACTAAGTAAAAAATAACTCCCTCAAAAAAACAGAAAGAAAATAACTCCAAACTCATAGCCACAGAATTGATTCTGACTCATATTGACCCTACAGGACAGGATAGACCTACCCTTGTGGGTTTCTGAAACTCTATGAGAGTAGAAAGCCTCATCTTTCTCCCTTGGAATGGCTGTTGGTTTTGAACTGCTGACCTCATAGTAAACAGCACAACACATAACCTACTACCTTGCCAGGGCAACTTTTCATAGAAATAAAAATTAATGAATAAAAGGCGATTATGTCCTCATGGCACTGAGGGATAAGAGTGTAGTTTCTAACCTTAAAGTTGTTGGCTCAAATCCATCAGCCGCTCTGTGGGAGAAATATGAGGTTGTCTGCTTTCTGTAAAGATTTATGCTCTCAAAAATAGTCACTATGAGTCAAAATTGACTTGATGGCAAGTTGGGTTAGATTTGTTTTCAGGGGAACCCAAAACTTAACTTATATGCTTCAAATTTGTATTATCATTAATAACTCATTATATCTAAAAGTAGCATTGCTTTTGTTAATAGAAAAAACATTCAGGTTGGAATTCCATGACTGCTGTCTCTTACATGCTTTCTGGACCAACCCAAACCTACTGCCAAGGGGTCAATTCTGACCCATAATGACCTTGTAGGACAAAGCAGAACTGCTCTTTAGGGTTTCAGAGAATGCCAATCTTTATAGGAACTGATAGCCTCATTGTTCTCCCTCAGAAAGGCTGGTGGATTTGAACAGCTGATCTTGTGGCTAGCAGCCCAACTTATAACCCACTATTCTGTTAATGCCTCTAGAATGCCTCCTACCACAGTCATTAGTAAGAGGTACCTAATGTCTCTCTTCCTAGTGCTCACACTTGATGTTCACAGGGGCTGTCCCTACCGATTTCAGAGGTGGCCATTCATCAAGGCACTTTTATAACTTGGGAATTAATTGGACATATGAGACAGAAGAAAAGATCTATTTTTAACCATTTCAGACTCACCAATGATTCCAGCTGTGTTATCTGGTTTCTCGCTTTTCGCAGCTCCTTAAGAATGACGTGCAATTGGTGCTGCATGTTCTGACGGTCAAGCTTTTCATTTTCAAAGTCTACAGTGCATGCCTGCATCTGGAAAAGGCCCGGGACAAAACCGTCACAGCTGCACGCCCTGTCCAGTGTCCTTGACTGGACGCTTGCATTTTATTTCTTTCCCTTAATTAGCCCAAGCAAGCATTTACTATGCCTTCATAGGAAGAATTCACTTGAGTGCGATATGACAAATGATGCTTTTGGTAGATGGTTTGCTTCATCAAAGGAGCAAAGCCAATGTTTCATGCAGAGGTGAGGGCAGCTTTTACAGACGGCGTGGTAGGATTTTTCCTCCACCCACCTTTGGGACAGTGGAGACGAGGAAGGGATGGCTATTGACGGATGGGAATATAACTGAGGGTCTCTGCTCCAAATCCAGAGAACAGATGGCGTTTCTGTAAGTGCTGCTGGAAGTGATAAAGTAGCACTGGAGGAGAGCTACTGGTAGACCAGAATAGGGACTAGTGAAGCCAAAGGGAAGGAACAAAATTCCCCCAGGCCAACAAGTATCTGTCAAGAAAACTACCCTCTCCAGGAATCTAATTAGTCCATGGGCAAGCTGAACAGTTTTTGTTAAATTGGTTTAAAAACACTCTCACATCTTCCAAAATGACTCTTCCTAGGACAGTGTGCATTGTATTATGGGCCGCACTGGGTTTAAAAGCAGCCCTCGTGAGTACCTTTTGTTCCAAGAGAGCCACTCTCGTGTGTTCCTCTTGCTGCTTTAACAGAGACTTGTAAAGAAACTGGACCTGCGGAGGGTAAAGAGAACCGGGGTTGTCACATCTGCCTTGATCACTTGGCCTGGCCCTCATGAAGAGCTCACATCACGAATCTCACTTTTCGAACAAGGAGAACACCTGCTGGTTGGAGTGAGTCATTCCAGCTGGTTATTTGCTTGCCAACCAGAGATGCAGCTGGGCAGTGCCACCCTGGGCTGAGAGGTCCCTGGGGAACTAGGTAAAGAGTACAGAGCCCTGCAGCAGCCACCCCCACTTCCCTGGAAGCTCTGACACCTACTGATATTTCTGAGGGGGATCACAGAGCTGGCAGTATCTTGGTTCCTTGGCTGTAGAATTGGAGCAAAACCCTCAATCATGTCTGTGTAACTGTTCTCACATATCACTGCTTCTGCCTGCAGTTGAAGTGGGGGTGGAAAAGGCTAAGAAGGCAAATGTTACAGCATAGTAAACTATTTCCTTTGCTTTACTTGTTGGAGGTTTTTCAAAATGACTATTCTAATAGCAGTGATTTCTGGCTCTTCAGCTTACAAAGCTCTCACAAAAGCTCTATGAGGCTAGAAAAGGTGAGATTCTAATGACCAATGAATCACTGAGGAAATGCCTTTTTTCCCCTCCAGAGGTTGATATGAGTAAGTGCTTCAGGCTGGACAAGGAAAAGGAGGCTTAGGGATGCTATTTATCCAACAGATGAGGAACCTGCATGGGAGTTAAGTTAAGCGACTTGCCACGGGCCACACATGCTGGACTAGAGATGAAGTATTGACCAGATAATGCTCTTTCCGTGATTTATTCTGTCAAGCAAACTTAATGAATCTCTCACTTAGTCCAATAACTAATGGACCCCAGGGACATTAGCCTCCACTACCCTGAAACACAAAGAACTAGACAGTGCCCAGCTACCACTACCAATTGTTCCAAAAGGGATCTCGTAGAAATTCTTGGACAGAGTAGAAGAAAAACATGGAACCGAATTCAAAATCATAACAAAGATCAGGCTTACTTGTCAGATAAGAGACTGGAGGGACCCTGAGACAATGGTCCTTAGCAACCCATCAGGTCTAGAAATGAACTGACACCCGTAACTCAAAATTTCAGCCCAACAATAGACAATAACAATGGGGAGGCACACACTTTAGAGCAGCAGTTCTCAACCTGTGGGTCGTGACCTCTTTGGGGGGAGTCGAACAACTCTTTCACAGGGGTTGCCTGATTCATAACAGTAGCACAATTAGTTATGAAGTAGCCACGAAAATAATGTTATGGTTGGGAGTCACCACAACATGAGGAACTGTATTAAAGGGTCAAGGCATTAGGAAGGTTGAGAACCAATGCTTGAGAATAACCAACCATTTGAGATTAAAGAAGCAGTATTTTCCCAGGAATAAAATTCAGAAGGGTCAACAGAGGAGGAGGAATAGAAACAGGAAAACATAGGGTTAAGCGATTAGTTCCTCATGGGGATTGTAGTGAAGATGATGAAACAAAATGTGTATGCATTGTTGAATGCAAAACTGATCTGCTCTGTAAACTTCCAACCAATTCATAATAAAAAGGGGAAAAAAATGAGTCTCTGTCTAAATTGTTCTCAAGTCTAATAATCCTAACTTAGCAACTCCATCATCACTAAGACATCTTGGGAAAAGCTGTGTGGGTTAAAAAAAAAAGCTGTGGGGGTCATGAGAATCCGGGAAGTATTACTTGAGTTAACGTGTGCATATTATTACTATAATCGGGTATCATTTGAGGACTCAGCCTGATTCCTCTCTTAGCTCACATCTTCTTTTGGTTTCTATGAAATCTCTCTCCTCAGTCTTGGTGTGTGAGGTGACCTCTGCCCAGAAGGGACTCTCATCTGGAGTTCTTCACCCCGCTGGTTCTTTCTTATCCCCAGGTGTCAGCCTAAACGTCGTCTCTTCAGCAAGGCCTCATTGGCCACTAATTTTCTTTGTCATTGTACACAGTTTTATTCCTATTAGTGTATGATGTTTCTACTCTAGAATACAAATTCCCATGAGGGCAAGAACTTTTTGCCTTTTTTTTTCTTTGTTGTATCCCAAGACACTAAAATAGTACTGACACAGTAGGTCCTCAGAGAAAACCCTGAATCATGAAGTCATGGGTGATGGCGAGGCTTACCTGGGCCAAGAGCTCTTCAGATCTCTTCTTCTCTTCCCCAAGTTTTCCCCGAGCAATATCATTCTCTTCCTTGAGCTTTTGGATTTTCTCTGTTTTGTGCCTGTCATCTTCCAGATGTTGTACATCTGCCTTTTTTTGTGAACACAACAGTTGATTTAAGTCTTGGACTTCTTTTTGAGTTTCTTCATATTTTCTCCGAAATTCATTAAGTTCAAAACTTAACTGAGCTATGGTTTGACGCTCAACCTCAAGATCCTTTTTAGCGTTGGCCAAGAGCTGATTATAATATTTTTGCTTTTCATCCTGTAGGCAACCTATCACAAAAAACATCACAGTGAGCTCTATTCTGAGACTGATAATATTCCTAAAAAGTTAAACACCGTACAATGCTTCTCTAAACAAGATCACATTATTTCCTCAGCTTGCAAAATGAAGAGTCAGAAGCTATGAATTATATGTTTGATGGAACAAGAAAAGACATTTGTGTACAACAGCTTGAATTTAAGGGATTACCAAATAAAGGAACTAAAAATAATAATACTGAAACATAATAAAAGGAGAGTGGGGAGAGTCTTCTGTGGGAAGTCATGAATGTCTAAAAAAGATAAATCAAGAAAAAAAAAAAAAGCTTATTCATCATAGAGATACCATGAAAAAAGTTAAAAGCAGACAATTTTCAAGCCGTTTCACTGGGAATAAGGTACGGTCCTTATTACTTATTTCAACAAGTACTTACAGTATTTCTTCACACACACACACACACACACACACACACACACACACACACACACACACAGAGCTAGCTGAATCAAAGGGTAAAAAGAGCCCCTAACTAAACCCTGCAGTGTACTTAGAAAGTCCTTACTGTAGCAATGCTGTCTCCAGGCTGAAACAGCTTTGAACTCCCTACCGAGGCTTTTCTTTCACATCTTCTTTTTAGCATTAGTTCTGTTTTAAATATTCCTGTGAGGCTTCTCCGGGATTCTGAGCCTTGCTAGCTTTCCTTTAGCCCCCTCTTTCAGTCATTCAAGGCTTCAGTCTGTGAGGGCTGTCAGCTTTTTCATGAGAGCTCTGCATGGGGTGTTCTTTGCTGACCCTGCCTCCCAATCTATAAAATAAGGGGAAAGGTCCTCCCTGACCCTGTTTTCAGGGGGTGTCCTGAAATTCACGTGAGATCAACACCAGGACAACTGCAAAATGCATGATGAAAAGTGAGCATCACGAGTAAGGAGGCTTCATCTGGATTTCACGGTGAAATTCAAATAATTGGAGAATGGTTTGTAAGCTATCTTTCTCCCAAGGTTGATGGCAATCAGTGCTAAGGGTTGCAGAGTAAAAGAGGATTGGTGACAAGGCCAGTTTTGCGTGAACTGAAGTTGGAGAAGAACTCAGAATGAGGGGAAGAACATGCACAGTTGGAGGAATTTTTAAATTAAAAGATCATTTTATTGGGCAGTTGGGGACATTTTTTTTTAGTTAAATAATTATTTTATTAGGGGCTCATACAACTCCTCACAACCGTACATACATCATTTGTGTCCAGCACATTAGTACATATGTTGACTTCATCATTCTCACAACACCCGCTTTCCACTTGAGCCCTTGGTGTCAGCTCATTTCCCCCCCTCCCTCCCCGATCCCCCCTCCCCCTTGATAATTTATAAATTATTATTATTTTATCATATCTTACCCCATCCCACATCTCCCTCACCCACTTCTCCACTGTCCATCCCCCAGGGAGGAGGCCACATGTAGACCTTGTCCTCTGTTCCCCCTTTCTCCCTCTCCTTCCCTCCACCCTCCCGCCATCGCCACTCTCTCCACTGGTTCTGGGGGGTTCATCTGTCCTGAGTTCACTGTATTTCCAGTTTCTATCTGTGCCAGTGTACATCCTCCGGTCCAGCCGGACATGTAAGGTAGAATTGGGATCATGGTAGTGGGGTGGAGGAAGCATTTAAGAACTAGAGGAAAACTGCATATTTCATCGTTACTACACTGCATTCGATTTGCTCCTCACCTCCCTGCAGCCCTTCTGCAAGGGGATGTCCAATTTCCCCCCGATGGGCCCTGGGTCCCCACTCTGCACTCCCCCTCATTCACAATGCTTTGATTTTTTTTTTGGTCTTTGATGACTGATATCTGACCCCTTCGCCGCCTTACAGGCTGGTGTGCTTCTTCCATGTGAGCTTTGTTGTTTCTCAGATGGCTCCTTGTTTATCTTCCAGCATGTGGGACCCTAGATTCTGTGTAATTTGACAGCTTGGCACCATCAGCTTTCTTCACCACATTTACTTATGTACCCGCTTTGTCTTCAGCATTCGTGTCGGGGTAGGCTGGTGTAGTTGGGGAAATTTTAATGTGACTTTAAAGCCTCACAAGATTTCCCTTTAACATGTTTTCACAGAAAATAAAGGAAATTTTAAAATTTTATTAAAAAATAAAGAAGACTTGGTAAAACAACATTTCTAACTGCAGAGTTAGAAGAGTTGCTCTTAACATATGTACAAATGTGCTTGACACAATAGATGTATGTATGGATTGTGATAAGAGCAGTACGATAAAAATCTAAATTCGCCGAATCACTCCTTTTGGAGAATGTCAGACGTAGTATCCCCAAGGAACAGTGGTATACCAGTACCTTCTGACTCAGTCTTCTTTGTCTGCTGTGGCAGTGACTGTGCAGCCATTTCCGACTGCTGTTCCAACTCAAAGATCTTTGCTAACAGCCCTTTGACGTAGACCTCACGCTGCTGATCGTACACAAGCCACTGCTGGTTTTTCTCCAGAGCCTCCATGTGAAGATGGAAAAGCAAGAGCAATAAGATTAAAAATAAAAATGAAACAACCTGAAAATGTACAAAGGCCACCAAGTAAGGTAGTCTTTGCTAACACACAAAGACTCTCTCTCGGGGCTTTCACAATAGAATCACTCTGCTGACATGGGTAGGCAAGTGGTACCCAACAGACCTATTCTTCAACTGTTCTTTCCATACATCTTTAACAGGTTTTCTTCAAGGTTACTTCAAGAACATTGGCATTGTACACTCAATCCCATTCGTTTTATATCCCACAGAACCTGCTACAAATCCAGGGTTCATAGTAACTGGACTCTCATGAATCCTTAACAGTGTCTACAAACATTATATTTTTAAGAGTGGGTATGGATTTCAACCTTACTCATTTTGGGAGGCAGCACAGAGAACCCTTTTAACCTTAAAAGGGTGTATCATCTTTCATTTTAATTTCAATCTGAACTTATAACAGAGTATGTTAGCTTTTATCAGAGCCCCTCTGTCCAGGCCTCTAGTTATACGATGAAGAGCCTGACATTCTTGGTTGTGTACCAGGGTTTGTTCTTTCAGATAAGAACTTTGTGTTTTAAAGATGGGACTCCAGCATAGTGTAAACATAACTGTGTTATGTACTGGGACACCCTAAAATGTGCCTGACTCGTTTTACTGTGCTATCACCCAAAATATCTCTGAGGCATGCCTGCATTTACATAAATCCTGGAGCCCTGGGGTGGAGCAAAAGGTTAAGCACTCAGCTGCTAACTGAAAGTTTGGAGGTTCAAGCCTATCCAGAGGCACCTTGTAAGAAAAATCAGGTGACCTACTTCCAGAAAAATGTCAATGAAGACCCTGCGGAGCACACCCCTCCTCTAACACACATGGAGTCGCCAGGAATCGGAGTCGACTCTATGGCAACTGGTGTGGTTTTTATATAAATCACAGCAAGCCTTAAAGATACTTATCTTTATGCAAAATTATATTTGTTTATCATTAGGGAATATTCCAATAGAAACTATTTAAGCCAGTGTTGTATGGTCATGAGAGCGGTTTTTAAAAGGAACCTGACCACGCACTACTTGACCAAGCATGGGAAGCAAAACTACCTGGTGCTTAAAGAATTGAGAAGCAATATCCTACGAAGCCACACGGTGGCGATGTTACTTCAATAAGATAGTAAATTTTTTTTGACCGCTTAGTAGACCGCTAGTCCTCTTAAGCTGTTATCCAACGCATCTGCTACAATAGTAACAAATGAACTTCTAAGCTATCAACAAATGCTATATTATTAGTTTAAATATTCAGCAGCAGCATTGCAATGTCTAGCCTACTTCTAGTTTTGTGTTATCTATACATTTGTTAGATGTATACTCATATTTTAATCCAAGTTATCTCAATATATATGTAGAAAAAGCAAGGGTGAGGGAAAATGCTACTAGAACTCCCCCTCCCATTTTGATTCAGGGGCCACTCAATATTCTAGGGTAAAAATTCCAATGTTGATTAAAATGCTCATCTGTACATAAGGGGGAAAATCCTAATACGTGGTTCATTACAACGCCGGGATATGGAAGGTATATGAAAGCATTGTGTCAATCTTAAAAATTTAACTTACTATCTAGACAATGGTAATGGAAACAAGCAACTTACTCTCAAAGTATGTGTCGGGGGGAGAGAGAGAAAGAGAACATGCCTTCATGTAGGAGAAAATGCAGAGGAGAATGACCATAAACAGACAAAATGCTAGCAAAAGGTACATCTAGGTAAAGGCACAGAGCTGGCTTTGTGTTCTAGTCTCATTCTTGTAGCTCTCCTAAAATCGGATTCCCCTCCTCAAAAGAAATATTGTTTCTCTTCCCTTAAGTTCGATGTTTTAAAAATTGGGACTTTAGAATGAATAAGAAATGACCATTAAAATAGTTTTTCAGCTATTTGGTTTGGTTTCACCCGAGAGTCACTGACAATTCGTGCCTGTTTACGGCACACTCGTCACATCCTTTCAAAACGTCAGCCAGACTTAATGGCAGCTGAGGAATGACACAGCTAAGCCTTAAGAAAGGTACACAAGGGGTTTGGGGGCTTATTCTGGCATACCAAATGCTGACTTTTAAAACAAATGGACAAATGTCTACCAGAAGTTTTTTTTTGAGGGGGGAGGACTTGGAAGGGGCTTGTGGGACCAGAACTACTGAGATCTCAAAGGTCAACTATGATAGGGAATAAAAACTGTAAGACTCCTTAAGTTCTCCAAAGACAATTCTCAGTCTAAAAAATCTGAGATTCCCAAGAGATAGCCAGAGTCAAGCTATCTCCTGTTCTGCAAACAAATGACTGGTCTCAAAGTCTGGCTTGAAGACCAGCAGCATCAGTGAAAACAGACTCCCTGGCCCACCCACACCTACTTTTGACATCAAGATGTGCACTTTATGAAGCTCTTGCAGATTCCTGTGCACGGCTGAGTCACCATTCTGCCTAACCACCATTTGAAAGTGAGCTGGGATAAAAATGACTCCTTTTACCTAAAAATCTTTTCTAAGGTGGACAGAGCAGAGGAGCACAGTGTCATTAAATCAGCTGAAAAGATGAAATAGACCAAAAAGACTGAGGCATGAATGTGGACCATTTCAAAGTTCATTTTGTCAAAAGAATTGTCATTACATAAGAGTTGTATGAGCCCCCAATAAAATGATTTAAAAAAGAAGAAGAATTGTCATTACGTAAAATCAGCTGATCTTTGAGGCGGTTAGTCCTGTGAAGGTTAAAGTTGCTAAGTTAGTTAATTGTGCCAGCCTGGCCGATAATCACATATGGGGCTAATTGAAAGGCGGAGGGATAAGTGGGTGGTGAGCCTCGCCTTTCTAGTTCTCGGGTCTCTTGTTTTGTGATGGTCGGCACCGGGTGCAGCTGCCTTAGCAGTTCCCTGCTTCAGCTTGCAAGATTGACTTCCTACAAGACATCCCCAAGGAGAAGCTACATGGACCTATCCCGATGCAGCCCTGGGTGCTGGAGCAGCCGTGTGGAGACCCCTGCCAGTGCTGAGATGCTTGTTCTTTCACTGACTCAGCTTTCCTCCTGCAGTTGGCATCATTGCCTCTGTTTTGTGAGGTGGAGGACTTTGTGGACTGGTGTTGGGTTAATGGGTTAATGTTGGACTTGTGGGCTTGGGCAGCATAGGGTTGGGATGTTTTCGTGATGCACATTTTCTTTACATAAAACTCTCTTTATACATGAGTTGCTGTGGATTTGTTTCTCCAAAGTACCTAGACTAATACAGTGCATACAAGTTTAAGAGAGCATGTATTTTCAGATACTTTGCTAGAAGAGATTCACACGCCACCCAAGACCAGGCAGCCATTCTTTAAATGCTCCAGACAGTGGGGAGGCAGCAGTGAGCGAAACATGCAAAAATCCCTCCTTTGTGAAACTTATTCTAATGGAAGGGTCAGACGATAAATAAGAAAAATGAACTAATTTTAACAGCAATATGAAAGGAAGGAGAAAAACAGGAGTATCAGGAAAAGGGAACAGAAATTACCTGGGTAATTTTAGACAAGGCGGTTAAGGACACAAAACCTCAGCCCCACAAGAAAGTGACATTTGAGCAAAGACTGGAGGAGAGTAGGGACTGAGTTATGAAGCTGTCTTGGAGAGGAGTGCTGGCTGAGGAAATAGAAAGAAAACACGATGCTGTCAAAGAATAGCTAGAAAGAGAAAGGAATAGAAAGGAATAGGGGGAAAGAGGCACGGACGATACGCTCATGTAATGGTGGTGGTGGTTCGTGGCCACCAAGCCGGCTCCCACTCACAGTGACTGTCCATAAACAAAGGAATAAAACACTGTCTGGGCCTGTGTCATCTTTATGATAGCTGACAGACTCAAGTCCATCATTATGACTACTGTGTATTTTGAGTGTCTTCAAACTATGGGGTTTTATCTTCCGGCACTGTATCAGACAATATTCTGCTGTGATCATAGGGTTTTCATTAGCTGATTTTCAGAAGTGGATGAGTAGATTGCTACTGGGTCCAGCTGAGCCAGGAGCAGCACCTTGCCATTACAAGCATTTCCTTCCCATGAGTCTCTCCACTCCCATATCTTCCTGTGCCGCCAGAGACTCACGAGTGTGTCAGATTCAACTTCCCAACAAGAAGATGCACAGGGCCTTCTCAAACCTAATTATTAACCACAGCGCCCCCCCCCCCCTAACCCCCAGGGTATATTAGAGTGTGGTTTCTTTGTTTCACTCTCTTGCCCCTGCTCCCTGCTCTTACTCTCCTCTCTTGCCATTGTTCCTCTTTCTCTTGCTTGCTCTGGGTTTCAGCTATGCTCCTACCCTCTACTCTGAACTCCCGTCCACTCTGCTTCCTTGTTCTCCCTTCTAGCTTAAAAACAAAAACCAAACCAAACCCGGTTGTGCTTCCCAATAAAGCCTGTGAATCAATATTCATTCACTTTCTGTTCCAGTCTATAATTTCTATTCATTGCCATGCCTTTTTTCCTAGTCTGTCTTCATCGGGAAGCTTGCCTGAAACCTGCCCTCCAAGAATGACCCTGCTGCCATTTGACATTACTAGGGGCGTAGCACCCAGCATGTAGCATGCATAGTATGACAGACCAATAGATGGGTGGTAAGGCTAGTGGATAAGTACTAATATACACGTAATATTAAACTTTTAGAGGTAGAGCTAGTGGGTAGGCACTGATATACACGGAACGATAAACTTTTAGAGTTTTTACTGTGGCAGTGCAGGGGCAGTGAATTATTTAATGTGGCTCTTTCAGCCAAAGTGTCTAACTCCCACCAAAGAGCCTTTCCTTTCATGGGTCTGGTAAGGTGTGGGGGGTGGGGAATCCTGATAGGATTCCCTGAAGTGGCATCCTGCTGCATATAGATAGATAGATAGATAGATATACAGACAGGCAGATAGCAAACAAACAAACAAAAAAGAGCCCTCTGAGAAGCAGGAGACGAGATTTCAGTATTGGCAAGAGCTGGGTGTGGGGCCTATCCTCTGGACCTAAGATTCCTGTACAGTGAATCTCCTGGATCTAATGACAGCTTGACCATCAGAGAAGCAGCATAAAACCAGGAGCTGTGGTATATGGAACACTGTGATGGACTTCCCAACCTGTGGAGCAAGTTAAGATGGGCGCTTTTGTGCAGGTGACTGGGTTGCTGACTGGGGTGCCTCGGGCACTTAATTCAGGAAGCTGGGTTTGCTGACCCACAGAGCTTAAGCTGAACACTTGGGCTGAGGCTTACAGCAGAGTGGTATGTCTTGTGGGCATTTATTAACATATCTGAAACTTTGTAACATGTCCTGGTAAACAACAAGCCTGAGCAGTTCTCACTGGCATTCGAACTTGTTAACTTCAGTAACAAACCCTTTAATGATGAATTTTATCTGTGAGTTTGTGTACCATTGCCATGGACAGTAGGAACTAGAAAGGTGAAACGGTGTGAAATACTGGACACATTAATTATGCCAGAGCAGTGTAACACAAGAAGTTATGTTCACAGTTTTTTGTTTATAAATTAGGCTTCTTCATTTAAGTTACCTCTAAACAAATCATCTTGATAAGGTATTATAGTACAGTCTCTGCAGATTTAGTTATCAAACAGACCTGAAGTACACTTGTCAGACAGAATAAAACAGGGCACTTAAGCACAGACTTAGAACAGGACAGCCAGTACTATTTCGGGGACCAAAACACCTACCTCAAAACTCACTGCCAGCGAGTCGGTGCTGACTTCTAGCGACCCTATGCCTACCTGCCTACTGGTCCAATAATTAAATCAAGAACTTTATACTTTGTAGGTCCACTAGTAGAACTTGGAAAAAAAAACAACAATAACTTTGTAAATAGCAATCCTCCTGAAAAACGAGAAAGGCCGTGACCAAAGGGATGATGACAAAGCACTCAGTTTTCCTGCCTCAGCAGCAGATCTGTTTTTCCAGTCAAGCACCCAGGCTGCCCATTTCCATGAACTCTAAGAATAACCACATGAGCTAGCCCTCTCCGCCCATAACATATCAAAGGGAAAATGAACTTACATCTTTCAGCTGTGTTTCCATTTCATGAATATTGCTTACTGAAGAGTTGAAGCAACTTGCAGCCACAGTCTGTAAACAAACCAATGTTAGCACTACCAATTTCATAATAGATAATGTTCTCATTCTATTTAGTCTCAGCATTTTTTCCATGCTTCACAGAAGCACCCAGAACTATCACGAGGGTTTCCAAAGGTTCATGGGAATAGAGGGTTCAAAGATAATGATATTTTCCCACAAGCTTTTTCAAGCCCCTTCATTTCTGCTGGTAAACCATCCAGGCTACCACAGGGCCAGAGTCGGAATGAAGATCTCCTGAGCCGTCTTCCTAAGATTGGAACCCCCGAGTCTCAGATCCCCCAGACCGCCAGTGTAGCCCTTTGTGCATATGGGTTTTTAATCAAAGAAGATTTTCAGTGATTTCCACTTAGGAGAGGCAAAACGAAACACTGGGGAAATGTTACATTAAAAACATCCAGTTCTTAATACTTACATGGTTAACATTGCATATAAATTTAATATTAAATATTAAAACCCAACGGAGTTTGGAGAAAGGCAATGATATGTACCTGTGACAAGTGAAGTGTACTGGCTTTGCTTTCAAGTTCCGCCAGCCTCGCGGTCGTAGCAGACAACTGCTTCTTCAACATCTCTGTCTCCTCAGATAGAGATTTCAGCAGTTGCTCCCTCCGCTCGCCTTCCTTTGTTTTCTCTTCTAGCTGCTCAAGCAACGCCGTTGCGCTGTATCTCGCCTTCAGCTGCTCTCTGAGCCGCTCTATTTCTTTGTCCTTCTCTGTGAGGTAATACACATTCTTCTGCCTCTCAGCTTCTAGGAGTCGAATTTTCTAGACATAAACTAAGAGGCACCTTAGAACAAAACCTGGCCAAGCATCCAGCTAAACAACATTCTTCAACACGCATTTACGAAGGCTTTATAGTGTATCAAGCCAGTGGTATAGTAGGTATTGGGGTCCAAAAGAAGATGATGCCAGAATTGTACAAAGGTAAACCAAGAAGTGAATACCATATGGCGAGTGCTGTTCTTAAGATATAAAATGACTAGGACAAAGGTACAGAGAAGGGAGCAGCCAACGCTGTCTAGGATAGTGAGAGACTGCTGAAGAAAAGCTGGCTTTCACAGGAATGCCTGATAATCATCCCTTCATCACACTGGGGGTCAAAAAATTGAAGACTGAAGTGGCTCAGGGGCACATGCACAGGTAATATGAGCCAGCAGAAACAAAGAATCATAGAGGGTTACATTGAGATAAAGATGCATTGACTAATCTGCTTACTGTTGACTAATGATTTGGTCTAGAAGTCAATTGTGAGTGTCCAACATTTACAGAGATGTGCAAGACAAAGAAGGTATCCCTTGTCAACTGCCCTGCTACCGTTATGAGGGATAAAGAGTCAATTTAGACAGAATGGCAGTGCAGGCTGCCAGGCAGAAAACAAATGCAGTCGAATATTTGCATTCATAGTAGAAGAAGGAACAGTTGTTCAAGTGTACATGAGAAAATTTAGGTGAATGGATGCTCGTGGGGAAATTAAGACGGGATTTTTTTTTGGCCATATGCGTAAGCTAAGTGAGTGGTAGGATACTAAAACAGCCAAAATAATTTAATCTTGAAGAGACTACAATGTCCGGACAAGCGGAAGCAATGGTACCGGTGCAATCTGTTTGCCAGGACACATTTGGGATGCGGTGTTCAATTCTGGGTGAGGGACACATCACAAAGTATTCAAGAGAGTGACCGGGAACATTTCCATTAGTCAGAAAAACTGCAGAACATGGGGTTGATCTGCACACAAGAGGAAGCAGTATCTCCTTTAAAAAAAATCTGAAAAAATTGTCGATGTGGACAAGAACCAGATATAGTTTGTGTAACAATTCAAGCAAATAGGTAGAAGTTGTGTGAAGTGTCACTTCAATTGACTATAAAGGAATCAAATTTTGATAACCAAAGTTCATCAAAAGTGGAATGAACCAGAAAGGCATCCTTCAGGGAGACTAAGAATCCTGTTTCAGATGGCAAAATAACCTGGATGCCTAAGAACTGATGATAATTCATTTCTAAATGTCTGAATAAGTATTAACCTTAATGAGTGCTATTTTAAAAATCATCCAGTTTAATGATATGCCTATAAAATAGAATATAAAGAAATCAAATGATCTCAGGGCATTTGCTTTCTAAATACAATCAAGAAAAGTATTTGGAAAAATAAATTCAAAACAAATTGAGATTCATTTTTTAAAATATTCCTCTAATGCTTTATTCTGTTGTACAGAGGGTTGCTATAAATCAGAACTGACTAGACAGCATCTCGGCTTGCAAAAGCAGCACTTAAAACAGTTCTAGTAAGTTCCAAGTTTCCTGACTATACCATACCAAACTGTAAATCAGGGACTCTGCAATGTGGGTACCAGAATACAAAATGCCAATACATGTATGATTTTATCTCAAAAACCTGTAAACAAAAGTTCCTGGTAACAAAAAGCAGCCAAATATGCATGATAAAATGGGTTTTTAAACATTCACATTGAAAAATGGAATGTTATTTGACACACTGAAATGAACAGTTTTGACTTTTCTATTTAGAGATTTAAAACAAACAAACTAAAAAAAACCAGACTATAATTATTGGTTAAATACTTACTCATCTCCTGTAGTTAGAGAAGCAAAAAATGGGGGTGGGAATGGAAGAGACAGCACGCAGCCAGGCACAAAGCTCAAAGGTGAGGAAAGGAGAAATGGAACCGGCAAACAGGAGGAAGTAGGATGAATGGTGATCATTGATGGGGTTGCAGGGGTGGTGGTACAACAAACCGTGTATGAATTGTTGAACAGAAAACTGATGATCTGCTCTGAAAACCTTCACCCAATTCACAATAAAAGGTTTAAAAACAGCTCTTAAGAATGAAAAAGTGTCCTTACAGAAATAAAACATGTCTACATTGCACTGTCAATTAAAAACAATGAAGAAAGTAAACCAGTATTATCAGTTTTAAATACAGCTTAACAAAGATGATCAAGAAAACTCATGTAATCACCAGGATGCTATAAAGGGTGACAGAATAGGTTATTATTGTGTTCTGAAAGAGCTGAAAACAGACCTTCGTGCTGACTTGAAAAGAGGTCTTAGTGGTACACAGTTAAGCACTTGACTGCTAACTGAAGTGTTAGTGTTTTGAACCCATCCAGAGGCAGCAAGACCTGGCAAACTGCTCAATGGAGGTTAAAGCAAAAACTGAAATCACCATCTTACTCCATAATATAGTTAAAGTTATTGCGCCCACCTGGCCGATAAACACGTGGGATTAATTGAAGGACAGAGAGATAAATGGCTTGGTGAGCCTTGCCTTTCGAGAGTTCTCGGGTCTCTTGCTTTGTGATCGTCGGACCAGGGTGCAGCTGCCTTAGCCAGTTCCCTGCTTCAGCTGGCAAGGCTCACTTCCTGCAAGACATCCCCAAGGAGAAGCCACATGGACCTACCCCGATGCAGCCCTGTGAACCCTGCCAGTGCTGAGATGCTTACATGTTCACTGATTCAGCTTTCCTCCTGCAGTTGGCATCATTGTGTGTGTTTTGTGAGATGGAGGAGGACTTTGTGGATTGGTGTTGGACATATGGGTTAATGCTGGACTTGTGGGCGTGGGCAGCACTGGGTTGGGATGTTTTCTTGATGTGCACTTAACCTTTATATAAAACTCTCTCTTATACATGAGTTTCTGTGGATTTGTTTCTCTAAAGTACCCAGACTAACACACTCCATCATAGACATGATCAACTCAAGGGCACCCAGCAACCACAACAGTGCAGTGTTGAAGGGAAAGAACTGCTCACTGTCTTTATTTCTGAAACAAACTTAGTACCTGATGATTTCAAAACACACATTCAAGTATATTTTAAAAAGTGAGAGAAGCTAATAAGGACAAGAAAAAAATTCTAAGAAAAGCTGTAAAATCAAAGTAGCATTATTAGGATTCCAAGCCACGGTCAGGTTTCTAAAAGAAATGAACTGGGTGGGAGCAAAAGACAATTGTAATAAATTGCTTTCTAAACCAGCTTTCTATAACTGAAAGGGTTATGAGACCATGTACCTCTATGAGTCTGTGTCTGTCTTTATCAGCCAGCTTTCCTTTTCCACTTGCGATTTCATCCACTGATGTTTTTAAGGCTGCAATTTCTCCCTTAAATTTCTCCAATGTGGTGTCTGATTTGGAGTTACTAGGCTTTGAGCCCCATTTGCTTTTAATTAAGTCTCTGGGATTTCGGGAAGACATCTCTGAGATTGTCTGGAAAAATTAAAAAAAAACACAATTATATTTTATAAGTCTGAGCATAAAAGTTCAAATTGCAGGTTTAAAATTGGCTTAGTAAGCTATCTGCTCGAAACAGAAGTGATATGTCCAAATCGGGGGCTGATGGAGAGGGATCCAGGAAAGTTTCTGGATTGCTGGCAACAATTTTCTTTTTTTTTAAACGGTGAGGCAGAGTATTCATTTTTTAAAGACATGTTAGCCTGTACATTCAGTATTGTGAAGTGATCCATACATATGTTGTCCCTCGATAAAAATGTTTTCTTAAAGAAAAAAAATGGGGAAGGATTAAGCCAATAGTGAAGCTTAACAGAAGTAGCTCACAGTCACAGACACATTTTATACAGGAATTAAAAATTAGTGTGAATTCTATAAGGCACTGAAATGTCATTTCTCAGCATAATGTTGAAGAAACTGCTTAGTTCAGATATATCATAATGAGATTAAGAACCGTAATGGCAAAAAAAGGTGAAGAGGATCCAAGATGAGGTCCTTATGAAAAAAGAGCCACAATACGGAAGGAATGCAGGAATAAGAGGAACCAAGAATAAGGACCAATTTAAAGAGAAGCTTGTTATTGTTAGGTGGTGCTCAGTCAGAACACTGCCCAGTCCTGTGCCACTCTCACAATTGCTCCTGGTTGAGCCTGTTGGTGCAGCAACCGTGTCGATCTATGTTGATGAGGGTCTTCTTCTTTTCTGTAGACCTCTGCCAAACATGAGGCCCTTCTCCAAGGGCTGGTCTCTCATGGTGACGTATCCATAGGACATGACAAGAAGTCTCACCATCCTCTATTCCAAGCAGCATTCTGGCTGTCCTTCTTCCAAGACAGATTTGTTTATTCTTCTGACAATCCATGGTAATTTCAATATTCCTCACCTGCACCATGACTCGAATGCATTAATTCTTCTCCAGTATTCCTGATTCACTGTTCAGCTTCTGCATGCATACAAGGTGATGGAAAATAACAAGGCTAGGGGCAGGTGCACCTTGGTCCTCAAAGTGTTATCTTTGCTCTGTAACACTTTATAGAATGATCTTTTACATGAGTGTTTCTCAACACAATAGCATTAAATATAGTTTAGAATCAAGTGTGTAATAAAAACTAGCAGGCAGGGGCAGGCTCCCAAACTGGTTTCATGCTGGTCTCCCATTGCCCCCTTTGGAGGTTCAAGCAGCTATGGGAGGGCAGAGTAGCAGCAACCAGGCAAGCCCAGCTTCAAGAAAGCTTTTGGTGCCCCGCAATCTGCAGGCATCCAGCATGCACCCTCCTCGCAGCCACTGGCCAAAAGGAAGGTCGGCTCTGCAGAAGGGGTGGTGAAGGAGGAGCCCAAGAGGAGATGTGTGAAGTTGTCAGTGAGACCTGTGCCTGCAAAAGTGGAGACGAAGCCAAAAGAGGCAGCACAGCACGAAAGGATGAATCTTTAGAGAAAAAGTACAAGCAAAAGGGAAAGCAGGCTGAATAGCTAACCAAGAAACTAAAGCAGATTTACCTACCAAAAATGAGGAGAGTTCAGCCAATGACAAAAGCAAGAGAAAAAGAAGTCAAGTCTGATTAATATTTATCTACCATGTCTTATCAATGGGCCCTGTTATCTTCCTTCTTGTACAATCCAGAGGCATATTTTTATCAAATATTTTGTAGATGCAAGTTTTTAGTAGCGCTAGAAACATTTTTTAAGAAGTAGGAAATCCTACTTCATCCTATTTTTTTAACGTGTAAATTTTTTTTTAAAAGACGTGAAATCATTTACTGCTTTTTTTTTTTTTTTTTGGATGACCAAAAAATAGTGTAGGATACTGAAATGTGGGAAGATTTGACTATCTTGGGTGTCAATTAAAATTTGGTTTCCATGTTATTGTTTTTTAGTAGAATTGTGTCTGAAAAACATTCTGTCATCATGGCTATCTTATCAGAACGGTGTGCATTCTGTAACACCTTTTGGTCGTGGCAGTCCAGATTTCCCGATAACTTTGTTATGTGCTATGAAGGATTTAACACTAGCGTGAATAGTGTGTGACATTATAAATTGTGAACTAGTGGGCCTTAAGAAATAACAGCTTATCAACATTTGAAGATCATGGTACTTGATTACCTCTTTAAAAACACTGCCTCCAAATTTAAAGCTGGAAAGTCACTGGAATTTAGAAAAGAATTGTATTTACATGCCATTTTAGGATTTTGGTAAGTTATTAAAAATTATGTACAAATTGTTCATAACATCTCTGTACTGAGCTCAAAAGTTACAAAAAAAACTCCAAACAACTTTACCAGGCCAATATATAAATGAAGTATACTGTACCTAAAATAAAAGTAATTTTAGATAAAAGTTTTTAAAAAAACCTTTCCTGATCGCTCTCTAGAAAAAATGGAGGTGTGAATAAGGACTCTAGAGGTGCAGGAGTGTGAGACTATTCAAAGCATATTAGAGGCAACTGTATTCTATGCACCATAATGGGTACTGGATAGAAACTGTTGTTTTTAGAAAAAAGATGTTTCCTGATCCCATAAAACTTTCAAGCTAGTAAAGGAGGTTGGCAATAATGGCAAACATGGCTTTTCAAGTGGCAATAAATGATATTCAGGAAATGAACAGAGTACAGCAATAAACGATAGGCGTAAAAAGCGGGGAGACCTACTTAATAGGATGAGGGGAAAACTCTCTGGGAAAATGATTTCCAAGGTCATCCTATATGAAATCAGAAAGCCTGAAAAATATTATTAGAACTGGGCAGATGGAAGAAGAAAAAAAGAACTGGGCAGATGGAGTTGAACAGACTCAAGCACAAAAGGTTAGTCCTGGGCTTTTGCTGATTATAAGGTAAAAGACTGAACAAAAAAAAAACCCAAACTCACTCAGTTCTGACTCAAGACGACCCACTACCCTATAGGACAGAGTGGAACTGCCCCTGTGTGTTTCCAAGACTTATTCTTCATGGGAGTAGAAAGCCCTGCCTTTCTCCCAAAAGATGAAGGCAGCTAGTAAATCAATGCAGAGGCTGAGAGTTGGTGAATCAAATGAGGCAGATGCAAGGTTATGGGGTGTAAGGAATCTGCTGTCTAGGAAGTTCTTGCCTGTATGCCTCTGTAGATATAGCACAGCATTGACTTGACATACTGGGCTGATAAGACTTTTTTTTTTAAGCAAGTCATCAAGACCCAATCCGGTGATAAGACAGATCAGTAAGCCTGGAAGGAAGCCCTGGACCTTTGGACAGAAACTCCAACAGTGACTTCTAGTCTAACTGGACCAGGCTTCTGAGTCTGGACAAAGGGGGCACACTTTTCAAACCGTTCCTGGCCTAGTCTCACCCAAATACTCAGAGTAACTGTTAAGGGCTTCCTACAACACAACCTGGTGTTGGATTATAAACCCAAACTCAAACCAAGCTCCCTGCCATCCAGTAGATGCCGAGTCATCTCACCCCATAGTTTAGGGTGGAACTGCCCCCTGTGGTTTACTGAGGTTGTACCTCTTTGTGCGGGAAGAAAGCCTCCCTATTCCCCTCTGAGCAGCTAGTGGTTTCGAACTGTCGAACTTGCTTACCATTAGCAGCCCATCGATTAAGGATAATACTAGTCATTCTAGGGCCCCTGTATTAGATCGTACTGCTGTTTAGAAGGTGACCAGATTTTAACATTGGTAAAGAGGGACAAAAGCGGGACACCATTGATAAAACTCATATCCTGGCAAAATAGCCACATGGCAGCCGAAAACCATATACCTTAGCTTGTCGTGCATTCTTTCCAAAAATCGGGACTTTTTAAAAACGCAGCGGGACGCGGGAAATATTGCTAAAGATAGGGGCTGTCCCGCCAAAAGCGGGAGGTCTGCCAGGGGTCCCAACAATTGTTTCAGGGGCTGCCCGAGGCATTGTTTCAAACCCACCAGGGATAACACCAGGTGCTGCGGATGGGTTGAAGTGGCCTTGCTGGCTGGGCGCGACCAGAAAAGCATTTCAGCTCAGCAGACAGCACAAGCCATGGATCACAGGTCAAGGCCACTGCCAGACAGACGATTCCGACGAGGCCCAGTCTTACATGGGGACGGCGATCGTAAACAAAACGCTACCCTGGAGGCAAGATAAAACCCCCTTCGCCTTTCAGCACAGACTCACGTACTTCTGTGAAGATAGATGTAGGATAAGCACGAACGCGCATCCTAATGAACAAAAAGCCGTACACTAAGGTGACCAGATTTAAAGCGGGACACCATTGACCCGGGGGGGGGTGTCTTGATTAAAAATTTGGTCTATATGGACCAAATAGACCGTTCCCTAGCTTGTCGTGCATTCTTTCCAAAAATCGGGACTTTTTTAATACGCCAAAAGCGGGACGTCTGGTCACCTTACACTTGACCGTCTGTAAGGTGAGAAATCATACTCACCACAGAGCGGGGCGGAGGCGGAGAACCGTCCGAGGCGTGGCTCCCTACGCCGGCCTCAGGCGGGAAGCAGGCGCTCAGGCGGGAGAGGTGCCGCAGTCAGGGCGGGTCGAGATGGAGTCGACGCCTTCCAGATCTGCGTGCCGACCACACCTCACCCGCGGCTGCGACCCCGGGAGCCCGCGGGCGCCTGAGGAGAAGCGCGGCGCTGCGGTCGGCCCCACTACACCCTCCGGCGCCGACACCGCTTCCGGGAGTTTGAATCGCGCGGCCGCGGGGCGGGGTGAAGCGGGGCGCGTCACTGCCGGCGAGGGCGCGTCTGGAAGGAAGAGGAGCGTCAAGGACGCGGGCCCACGATTGGCTGTGATCCTCAGAGGGCGGGGCCTGAAGCTTGAGTCCGGACGGGGATTGGGATGGAGGCGGAGCCAGGTCCGGGGTGGGGATGGGGCGGGGCGAGGCGAGGCGAGGCGGGAACGCCTCCTTTCGAATCTGGCGCGGAGTTTGGATCTTTCTATTGGATGCTCTGAGGGCTCAGATTTCGCAGGCTCTGTTTCTTTGAGCAAATTACTGTTCTCCATA